TTCGTAGACATCATATCCCAATTATCATCTCCGGATGGACCAAGGGTTTATATAGCTCAGGAGGTGGTATCCAACCAAGAAGCTGGTGTTTTTGCGCGGTATCTCTATCTACTGCGCGTCAAGTAGTACTGTCCGTAAAAGAAAGAACCCTAAAACTTATCATACAGCAAACATCTCGTTGAAAACATAATAAAACTACTTTCTTGCCATGACTTGCGAGCAGCGCCTATATTCGATATAGGTAACGTCGTAGCCGTCCACGCTGCATTTGTCAGGAACTGCAGTACATCATAAGTGAAAAAAATTTCAAAACTTCCAGTGGTACTTTCGTACCGTGCAAGAAAATTGAGAGCAGACTAAATTCTATGTTGACACGAAGAAGACAAATGCCGACCTTACTGATGGTCTATGTTAAGTCCATCTACCAACCAGACGCTTTTGATATCAGTGTAACACGTTGTTTGCGAAATCAGCGAGTGAAAAGGAAAACGCAAGGGGAAGTTCAGTCTAATTCACCACTATTTTCCAACAAGTACTTAGATGATGATAAATATAGGATGATTACCGTATACGATCACCATTCTATGGAAGTGACGCTATACTCAATGATTATTGGTATTTTTATGCAGCTATTTTTCGACCAATGAGGCGTGTGGCGCAGTGGTCGGCGGCCCTCAGCAATACATACGAGATCGATTCCTGCGCCTCTAACCCACCAAGTCTTCCATTCCTTCGGAGTCAGCAAATTGGTACCGGACTGGTCTGGGAGGATAGCAGCGCTGGTTCTATACATTGATAGGCCACTGCGAGTCATTGTAAAAGTCAGATGTGCATTCAATCGCCTTCAAAAAAAAAAGATCCTTAATGAAGTCGAGTGTATGCCACATCCCTAAAGCATTGATCAACGCTGAGAGCTTTATCTTTTTTTGTGTTTCAACAAGTCAATGCAATTATGATGAACTGACATCAGCCAGGATGTGTGTGACAGATGCATTGGGTTGGGTGAAAATTGTTGAACCAGTTGTTGTGCATTTTTTTATTTTTAAAACTTACTTACTTCAATAAAGCTTTTCTAATATGCGATGTTGCCAGTACATCCACTTTGACATAACATCATTCAAGAGAGCAGATGCTTCCCTTCATACGGTTGTGAATTCTTTTCTTCAGATAGTTGTGAATCGAATTGGTCGCGTCCTGGAGACTTTGGTGTTTAGGGAAGGTTTGCCATGAACTGATTTCTTCAGATATCGGAATGATGAAAGTTAGATCATGTAAAGTTGAGGTTACGCTCAGCACGTGAGTTTATTTCTTATCCCGCATTGACGAGGTGCTAACAGGCAGTAGATAACACTTGTAGTAGTTCGATATCATCAAACACGGGCTCAAGCTCACCTCGATCGCCTTCTATCGCCACTTCAACCCAATGCATATGGCGACTCTTCACATCAGTCTCATAAACAGAAGAGAAGAACCGTGCAGGTATACTGACTTTGCATTGGTTTACCTGACTGCTGTTCTATTTAAGGAAATTACAACGTGCAGCATCCCGTCTACATCACGACACCCATCAAAATTCGAGGGTAGAACAGAGAGAGACACAGCAACGGTTAATAAACCAACTAGTTCTTTTTAATTTGGAAACCGACCGTTATTCAACCTCGGTAGGTGTTCGTCGTTCATAAACGTCTTCGAACACTTTGTAAGTTGATTCAGCTTCTGCTTGAGGATTTTGTCTTCTTTATGAATGTCGTTAAATGCTTATCGAGTCGATTCTCCTTGCAATCTTAGAGGTAGACGAGCTAGAGCGTTCTCACGTGGATTGGTGGAGAACGGAAGGATAGAGCGGAATTTTCCATGTTTTTCCCATTTTATTCTATAAAAATCGACTACTTATGAAAAGGTGCAAAGTTACAAGGTCCTGTATCCAATTGGACATTGTTGAATGAGGCATATTTTTAAAATTATTACCTCACCTTCACTTCGCTGACATTGCAACAGACTAATACTTTTAATGAACTTGTCAGCAAAAAATGAAGTAGAGTCCATAGAGCTAGCAAAAACATCGTCATTACTGTGACCCTGACTGTGACCTCATTCTGTTCACAGTAGATTCGTTTTCTACGAATGCGTCCCAAATTAGAGTTACAAATACGGATAATCCGAAAAGTAGTGTAAAGGCAACTAAACACAGAATTACTTATCGGCACTTTTTATCAAAAGAACAATTAACCACTTATGAACTTATACGTAGCTCTATCGTGAAAGAAGAGCACAGCTTCTTGCAACAAACTGGTCTAGTGTAAATTTTGCTCCGTGAAGTATTTCGCGCAAGTGAGAGGATTGGTGATTGAGCCTAAGATGGAAGCACTAGTAGTCGATCTCAGTCCATTATTTTACTGCTTATATATATGTGCATATAATTGTTTTGTTACGTGCTCCACATAAAAAGAAATGGACAAATATTTTAAACTGTTGAGTGAACAGTGGGAGCAAATTAAGTTTACCCTAGAAAAACCGAAAAGAACTCGCTTCCGTTTCCGAATGTTTAAACTAACCTATCCGGAAACGGCTACATCAGCAATTAGTCCCAAACTGCGTGCAACGAAAAACTGCTGTGTCATTATCTCTCATCTCACCCTCTCACATACAGAAGCAGTACTAGCAAGAAGTACGTTTCGAACAGCCACCAGTTTGTGTACGGAGAGCAGAAGGTGGAATCCCCGAAGTTGCCATTTCTCACGGCTATAAAATTGTACCTTCACCGGATAAGTGCAGAGGAGAACGCACGTATCCAAGGAATAACTCTAGAGAGAGTAAAGTCTCGTTCACTTTGCTCTTTATTTCCACAAAAATAAGCATAACTTCTTTTTTTATTTTATTTGAGTCGTCTTCACGTCTACTGTGCGGATCCCAGCATTTCTCACATCCAATTTGTTTCCTCACATTCATCATCCATGAGGGTCTTCCGAGTTTTTACTTGTGGCTTGACTGGCTTTTACTTGCTGCTTGAAGACTCTCACTTCATCTTGAATGTCATAGAATCCTGGTCGAACAATTATCTTTGGAGTCCCAAGATACTCGGGCTGGAGCGCTCCCAATTGGATTGCAGAGAGTGATTTTTTTTCCGGACAAGTCCGGCAGCATGTCCCGACCCAGGAAGGATGATGGGCTTGGTTATCCTGGAGCGGAATCGAACTAGCACAATGTTTGTGATGGCAGACATCACTGCCACTCTGCTCTCTGCTTTATATAAGCGGAACTATGAAACATTAATTGTAAAGCGCTTTTTAGAAAACTCGGTAGCAGTGATTGAAATATCACCGAATACTTTAAGAGGTCAACAAGCTCGTAACCGTCTGTATGACGTTTATGCAAAACGAAAAATTGCTTAATATGCGCTAATAGTAAAGATGGTGATTGCATGATTTCGGGTCACCTGTATCACCTGTCGTCCCGATGATCGTCGAGTGACTCGAGCGGTTGCCAGTAAACCATCCATTTTTCTCTCTGGCTTGCAAGAGTAGCTCAGTGCGTTCTGCTCGCTCCAGGGAGTCATTGTGTATGAGTTTGGGTACGGTGTACCAAATATCTTTTAAAGCATGCAAAGATGAATAGTTTAGCGAAGGAAAATGAAGCGCGTTTGTGTAGAAGAGCACCTAGTCGGCAAATTTAAATTGAAACCAAATGCTCCACTAGAGTACACACCACTTTGATCCCAAAGACATAAAGCAGATCTTAGCATAAAAGTCACTACCCTCACGCAGAAATCTGAAACCACTGCGCGTAAAACTGTTGAACTTTTTTGGATAAATTCCATTGATCGATAAATGAACAAGAAGGAGGAGTATCTTGTGTTCGAGAGTGACCTCTCGCCTTACCCCAAGCTGATTTTTTGACCCGAACCAAGCACATTCCTCACCCATGTAAAACTCTTTGCGGATTGTCTCTAGCAGATAACTTGAAGACTTACAACGAACAAAATTTTAGCGCTCAAAAGACCTTATTTATTCTACAAATAAAATTTTATGTGTTAACTTCCTAGGCTGAGGTTATGGAAGTGTTCATCTGAGTAGATTGCATGTCACTTCGATCTTTCCAGGATCTGAGGAAGGCTAACTCACCGAAAGGTCGGCTATTGTGAACAATAATTGCTCAATCTCGTGATTACTCATCAAGAAAACAATGAATTATTGAACGTAAGTACTCAGTTAGAAGAAAAGCCTACCTAACGACCTGCTGAAAATTTCACAACTTACTGGAAGAAAACAAAGCGCGTTCGACATGGCAATAATTTGTGACACAATGGGAATGTAGTGATGTTATAGCAGTTATACAAAGCTTACTGACGGGAAATATGAGTACACATTTCGCTCTCCCACTATTTGGATGTGCACTGGAATTACCCACATTCTCGTTAGGAACAGAAATCTAGAAATGTTGGAGACGATCAACGAAGTCTTTATTATAAAGGCACACAGTTGTCGGCTAATCAGAGTTGAAGCTTTAATTGAACAATTGTACAATTAAACTGATTCTTCCACATCTCGAACTACCATAAACAAATTTATAAACCGGTATAAAATAAACGCAATTATGTCTATTAAATGCGGTATTCCCAGATACAATAGCATCAAATCACTTTCCAGAGTTGGAAACGAATCGTCGTAAAGCGATTCGGATGCAGCTTTGAAAAACGTGCAAACGCTAGAACATACTAAGACGCTTACATATTCACATAAACAACACTTCAAGATAACCCGTTTAAACGCGCATCATATTCTACTGAGGTGTGAGAGAAATCGTCACTCGCCGCCACCATGGATAAAATTGCAGCCATTCAAATTTCTTTCGAAGTGATACAAGTTGATCAGAACTCAATTTTATCTCGCTCTGCTCACTAATTGATGCTTAGAAAATGGTATGTTCACCAGTGATATGTATAGGAGACCAAATATCCTGTTCTTTGACACTAAAGAGATGACCAGTTGTTGCTCTCACACTCACGACTCGATCGAGTCTTTGACCAGTTGAGGAACTTTAGCCTTAGTTTCTTCAACTGGTGGTTCCGTTGTGATGTGTGGAATCTGATGCTTTACCTGAAAGAATTCGCTTTCTCACATTATCGATTTGTTCAGGAAAACAGTGTGAAGACTTATAATGTTAAGTGATATAGCCACGTGCTTGAATAAAATCAGAGGTAGATGAGATTATTTCCTAGCTCTTCTCTTCAGCCCTCTGTTTATTGAAGTGGTAAACTACGCCTCATTACTTCGATCAGCGATGCGAAGTGTGGAAAAGCATAAAAGAACGCTAACCTTTAAAACAAACCAGTAAATAAAAAATGCACTTGCATATGTGAATTAGATAAAGATAAGACTTATTTTAATGTGGAAACTTCAAAGGATTTACTTCAGATAATCCAGTTAAAACATTGAAAATCTTACTCCCAAATTTCAAAATCTTTTCAGATATTGATGTTGAATGAATGTGTCACACTGAAATTCTCCAGCTGTCATACGACCGTCCCATAATACAAAGTAAAAGATAAGGGATGAAGTTTTGCTCTAGTCTTGATCTCCCTGAGGGGCAATCCCATTCGACTTCATTAAGGATCGTTGGAGGTGATTGAATGCATATCTGGCCTATACAAGGACTCGCGGTGCCCTACCGAGATGTATCGAGCCAGTGTTGCTGTCCTCTCAGACAGGTTTAGTAGTAATTTGCCGACCCCGCAAGCATGGAAGGCTTGGTGAACCTGGGGCGCAGAATTGAACCCATGTGTATTGCAGGGCACCTCTAAGCACTGCGCTACACATGCTCCATTTTACAAAGTTTTATGTAATATTTAGCACTGAATTTCAACTATAAGGTTCCTACGAGCGATGCTTAAGCAATTTTATAGTCAATACTTAAATCATTAACCACGACGTGGAGGAATTTACAGAAAATTGTTAGCTAGTTCTCATAACTGACAACCGAACCATCCTGATCAGCCATCAGTCGAGTAGTTTGCTGATGATTTATGTGGCCATGTCTCATGAAGGATGGCACTGGGTTGTTGTGCGCTCGTCTGAAACTTTCCTATGAATTAAACTTTTCGAAATATACTACTACGACGCAGTAGACGGAACTGAAAGAAGAAAATTCAAATGGATGAGTTCGTGAGGATTCGTTTATTCAACACATTGAACATGATTGCGTTAACAGCTCCAGTAAATCATCAGCATAATCAATTTAAAAATCGAATTAAGGCTAGATAGTTGCAAGACAGCTCCTTTTTTATACGAAGAAGTATTTCCCATAATGAGTCATCATCATCGAAAAATTCATCGAAAGATAGCGAAAACCACATCCCATTGGGTTGTAGGAACAAAAGTTAAGTCACTAAGCTACTATCAATCATCTTCCCCTCTTTCTACTTCACCTCCTAATTTGTTAACACACTATTTGTGCGCGCTACAGAAAATCTCTTAAAAGCTAGATTCACGGACCCGTACCTGCTTTGTTTTGAGTGCCCGTTCTAGAGTTTGTCAACAGACCATTTCGAACTAAGAAGCCATATAATTTAGATAATGTTTGAGAGAGCTTCATTCTTCTTTTAGCGACGACGGCAACGTGGAATTTCTACAGCGCCAATGCTTAACTATTGTCAACTAGGAAAAGGAAGGAAGAAGCTGGTCCAGAGTAATTCAAGTCCGAGTGCCAGCCAGAAAACTCGATTTCCAACTGTCTATATTCCATTTGAATGATTTTCATTAAGAAATAACCCAACTACCCACCCGTGATGATTCCTTCCTATATGCCCTATGTTTCCATCACTTCGTACACCAACCAAATCTTCGGTGTTTTGCACCCCAGAAGTATTGCATTCACGCTGATTTTCTAGCTGAAACCCATAAAAAATTAGCGACTAAATTGCACTAGAAAATAATGAGAAGCTCCTATTGAAGTTCAGGAGCGAAAATGTTGTGTACTTTCGGAAGTTAAGCACGATTTCACCATGTTTAGAAGATAAGGAACCGATAAATGAAAAGGCACAAAATCGGAAGGAATTAGGCATAAGGAATATGCACTAACTGCTGAAAGCTAGAGCATTTCAATAGTCTTCTTATGTCTTGCTCAAGTTTGCAATTCTTCTCAAAAGGGAAAAACAACTGTCCAAAGCGCTTAGAAAATGGAGATTTACAGCGCTAAGAATTCTCAACGCAAGACATCCGTGGAAAAGCCATTGCATAAATAACAACGCCATATTCTTTTATTTACAGACGCTTTGTTAAAGCTGATGACTTACTCACTTGATAGTCCCAATTCCGACGTCGTGGTTGTGACCGCCTATTACGTCGTATGCAGAGCATGACTAGGTAGCCGAACAAAAGTAGGTATCCTGTAGCCGTTACCAAAATGAAGCATAGTCGCATATCAGCTAGATAAGTCGCTACATCGTGGAGATCATCAGCCATTCGAATGAATTTGTACGATTCACTACAAATCCTGTGCATTAATACAAGTTTGAAGCTATGTTTAGCCGACCACTGAAAATAGTCTCCATTTTGCAAAAGCAACTGGAAAACTGAAGTGGTTGCTCATAACGATTTTATACACCTGCCATTCAGAATGCCGATTATTTGTTGGTAGAAGACACACAGAATCCTACAATCCTACCCTGTTACGATATGTGGTGTCCATGTTTCCATCAAACGGTTCCGTTTTCTTTTTTAAATAGAAATCACCTCTCCTTTTTCAAATATCAAATTAAGTAGTGTACATTTAGAGAAAATGAAAAAATGCATGTTATTTTCGCTTGAACTTTGTACCATACTTTATACCATTTTGAATTTGGCATAGATTGTGCTCCGCTTTGTTTTGTTTTTTGAGGAACAGCTACTGTTCCCTGGGGCAGTAAGTGAAGTTGGAAAGAAGCACCGTCAGTAATAGAACATTTCATGTTCAGCAGAGATTTACACATTGAAAAACAACAGAAGGAATAAAGTTGGAGGCGCAGTGAAATTACAAGGCAATGGTTTGGCTAACCTGTATTCAGATGGCCGGTAGTAGTCCATAGAGTTGTTATTGCTCGATTGGGGTAACGCTGGTCCTGTGCTGTGTTGTGAAATGCATAACTATGAGCATAGCGTGAAATTTTTGAGCATTGAATATGAGTGCGACATCGTTCACTGTGTCTAGATGAACGGTCTACAATTTCCCCGTGAGCAAAATGGAAATCCAAGCATCCCCAAGCATATGAACCCCTATGGAAGTGAAACAAAGTGGTGGACTCAAAGCATCATCGAACAGCAACTTCACTTAAAATTTTAATTCGATTACTTCAAGAAGAAACTATGAAACACTCCTGAGTGGCTTAATGCAACGCCAAATCTGTTCGGGATCGTAACTTTAAAAATTCGCTGAATCGGATATTCAAGTGCAAAAATCGCCATGTTATCGTTTTCAGTAGTACAATAATGGTGTCAGTTAGTTCCAAATCATTTAGAAATCCCTTTAATATCTTCAAATCGAAAAAGATTTATATCTATCTGAAAGTCCACTAATCCACTGTATCACTCAAAGGTGTGCTATGTGTCAACAAAGAAACGTCCGATAGAAAAATGCCCATTAATCAAATGCTTTCCTTAACTGGCGTTGTTCTAAAACGAATAATAAAGTTGTTAGGGCGTTACGGTAAAATCTAGTGTCCACGGTTTTGTACTCAAGCGCTCATGCAGGTCATTCTTACTGCATAGAGAATGAAAATCGCGATTTCAGAACTACGAAATGTTAAGCATTTATAAATTAATGAAACAATAAGAGAGGAGGTAAATACTGACGCTGAAAGCATATGGGAATGACTTAATGATAAAAATAAAAGATGCATGGAAATGAGAAGGAGAAGCAAATTGGTAGCTAGCAAACTCTATATCGATCTCAAATACGAGAGACGGCGAGTACGAGAGGATGGCAGAAGTGGAGGCAGGCAGAGGGAAATCCAAAATGTAGGCCCTAGGCCCTGGATGCTGCAGTTCCACATAAATACATTAAAAATTCGCAATCTGCTTAACAAAGTACTTTCTTTACTCTTATTCCTATGTTCTGTATGGAAATTCCCTTTTCTATAAGTAATATTTACAAACAATGCGCCATCGAATCTAAACAGTAGTCACGATTGAAAGCTGATGGAAAGCGTTCTTCATTTCGAAATGCGTGAAAATCTCAGGTCAATTCATTTTTAATGTTCTGTAAGAACTGTGATGACTAGAAGTGACCAGTAATTTATCCTCAATGACCTCATATCCTTTTCGTAAAAAATAATGTATGCGAATGAAGGTAAAGAGGACCACTATAACAACGCGAGGATTCTTTCCAACTAGCGAACGTGTTTATGAACAATGGTCCGTTATTTGCCACAAGAGAACCACTGTAATGAGCGTAAATATCCTCTTTCCCACAATTCACATTATTTCACGATGTGTGAGCCACACTTGCACTATGTATAAACTTTTTAAAACGAGAAATTCTTATTCCTATTAACCAGGTTTGTCCGAGTTTTGAGAAAATTCAGCACTTTTCTAAGGACCCTAGTAAACCAAAAAAGGAGAGTAATCTCCCTTTTGCAGTTTCTGAACGAAAAAGAACATCTTAAACAATTGCAAGGTTATAATTCTGCACTTTAATTGGCATTTCGAATTCATGTCTCTAATTTCTCTCAGGTACCAACTCAGCAATAAAGTGCGAGAAAAACTCACCTTTTCACCAAGGTACCTTCCGAATCCGCCAAGTTTAGCACGTAGACGCTCATTGTTTGATAATCTATGAGTACTTGAAATATTTCACAATATTCGCGCCTCGAAAACTCATCGATGTGCAAACAACAGGAATCATTGGAAGAAATAGAGAAAGGAAAACAGCACATTTTTATCATACACAAACAGTTGAGTTAGGTTGAAATTTTCTGTATGGATCGATAGGACAAGCTGAACAAAAAGAAAGTCGAACTCTTTTTAAGCCACCATATACGGATAGCAGTAATTTTTTGGATGGTTAGGGTGTGTCTACGTAAACTGTGGTTGTTCCCTGGAGGATTACGCCAGAAGTGCAATGTGTAAGAGAAAATCGTTTAACGTGTGCAACGTGAAAATACGAATATGCGAATTTAGTTCTTCCACGAGTTTTTCGAATGCTCATGGTCAATGTTTTCTATTGCCTCGCTCAATGTTGTTCTACCCATAGGTAAAAGATTCATTTGGAAACTTATCAGCATTTCTATTGTATTTTAATTTGCCAATATTACTACAATATTACCATTTCTAACCTATATTGACCACTTATGAGAGTTTTCACAGCGCTGTCTTTTGAATGCAAACAAAAAGAAGAAAAGCATAGAAGATCTGCATATCCAGGGATCGGATCTGTGCAATTCCACACATAGCGCAAAAGCCTTTTCGTCCTATAATCGGGTCGAAACTTTAAGAATTCTAGAACATGTTTTTATATTCGCGAACAGAGTGTTCACTTTCCTAAACAATACAGCAACACAACACTTTAACATTACTTTTCACTCATGTGGCAGCCAGTTGAGCGACATTACATTTTCTTCAGCGCTATGTTTTAACATAAAATGGTTCCTACATCCATCAATGACGCTTTGCACCAAAATATCAATATTCCTTGCCTGAAATAGCTTCTTCATCAAGTTTGCACTAGACAGTGCAGGAATAGTTGTCACTTACTAAACTACTGATGAAATCCGTTGCTGCAGCATAATGCAGCTAAGTAGTCATTATTCACTAAGCAATTATCTGCTTGATGTAGGTAATTAATCATTCCCTGTAATTATTCGAATGAAGTGGTTATTCACTAACAGTTTGCTTTAGCAAAGCAGCAATTTCGAGATTTCCTTCTGATTTCAACTAGAGCAAAAGTGGAGAGCGCTCATCGAAGACGAGCTCTGAGTACATGTGACATAACTTTCCTTATATATATATATATATATATATATATATACTTATATATGTATACGAAATTCTGGTTTTTGGGTGAAATAATGGAAGAAAACAAAACACGTTTAGTCAGATGAATTCCATTCCAAGCAAAAGCATAAAATCAAAGGCACGTTTGAGGGCACACATGGACTATAATGCAGAGGTAATGCAGAAATTCACTACGGTGTGGTAGAATTAAATAGGAGATGGGCTTTGACAGGGGTGATGCAAACAAACGGTTATCTATATAAGATGTTGGAAACAGCATTTAAAAAGAGAAACTTGTCTCGAGAACAGTTTTCTGTTAAAATACTAGTAACTCGTGAGCGAAATGGACGTTTCGAAAAACTGTGTTATTTAATGCTTCACTCGTCTAGTGACTGTTTGGATTCAAATGTTAACACAATCGCGATGTTGTAAGCGAATATAAGCACACGATACAAAACAAATTGGAGATTCCCGAAAGAGGTTATGCATTTAAAAAAGGTGTAAAAAACATCTAAGCAGAGATGAGAGCTTATTTCACTTGTTGGCTTATTACAACATCTGACTAGGCTGCTCGATGATTTCCACTTGTCAGGGAGAGAGGGAGTCTGAGTGATGTATAACGGACGCATCAATTTGCCTATCTCACCACCTTAGAGCTAATTTTATCGTAGAAATGGAAAAGGAGAAGAATATGGTGACAGAATGCTGTTATGCAGAAACCGCTTTTACTTCTGTCGACAGATCTTTGATAATAGCAAATTTATTCTCATATAGCAATCATTTACAGCCACACTTATATTTGAAAGCTTCCACACGTAATCAAACATATGTCATTTCAGCTATATTAGTTTGCATATTAGCATTCTAGGCGACAAAGCGACAGATGGCCAAGCAATCAGAAATCGATGCAGAATCATCTAGTTAGCAGCAAGAGCCATGGTATGAAGTACATGACCTCATGGACGAGAGATGTCCGACCGAACAATTGTTCATGATATGAAACTCTGTAATACTGAGAGGAGAAAGAATAGCCATCATTACACTGATGTTTGCGTATTATAAACGGTTTCTCAAACGATCCCCTTTAATCAGCAAGCTCATCTACACAATATGAAGAATTTAGTAATTGAATCATTTCGTGAAGTATGCATGAGTTGTTGAGTTGAGGTTGTTTCTCAACGAGTTTTTGTTTACAAACTTCACCACCGAACCCATTTATCTCAAATTGTAGTGCATTTTGTCAATTGAAAAAACATTAAGATAAACTTTTACAACGAAATACAGTTTCATTCATCCTGTCACGATAAAATTTAAAGTCTTCCGCACCCCTGAGTTCTCTGAAGAGATTTCCGAAAGTGGTTGTTCAATTAATGTTTCTTACTTTGGGGGGTTTGTTGGAAAAGAAGCGATCGGCTAGAGAGAATTTCTATAAGCAGATGGATGAGGTAAATTTCGTACCACAACTTTTTTTTTAACGTTTGCAGTGATGTTGTGCAACGTTGGAATTGCCGCCAATGGTTTCTCTCGAATAATCA